GAAATCATCTTTTATATTGGACAAAGTGAAATTTTATTTTGGTGATATTACGTTTAGTACTATCTACGTTTTGGCGATAATACTAGAAGTCTGCGGAGCTAAGTCGTAAAAAACCTTAATTATATTATGAAATAACTGTACAAAGTTTTGATTTATGTCTAATACAATTTAATATTAGTTAAATTTAAATTAACTTATATTCTGCTGAACATTTTGTGTTAAATATGGTTTTTATAAGTAAAACATTTAACGGTACTAAGCTTGATTAGTACTTACTATTTATGGTAAAAATAATTGATTTTCAAGAAAATTATTAATGTTTAAAATGATGCTTTTTAAGTTAATTTAATTTATTATTCCTTAAAATAATCCGTTTGTAATATCCGATAGAAATAAATTCGGTATTAAAATTGGTAACAAAAATGTGAGAGAAAAGAGTTTTTAACGGGAGTGACAAAATTATTTGATTATTGCAAGGAGTTTAAAATTTTTACCGCATATGGCTTTAAAATTGCTCTTAATTCTTAAATTTATTTACCTTTCAGTCATATGTACTTTTTCCCCTAATTATTTTTTTGTGAGTTTTAAAAATGTAGCACAGCTATTTGATAAGCATTTATAATTGAAAAAAATCATTTCTATGTAATGTTATGAAAATAAATAAAATATTTTGCCAATAATTTGTCAATAAAATTGAAATTAAATTACCAACATTTCTCTTGTTGACTTCGTTGTCACCATCAAGCTTGACTTTTGAAGAATGAATGACATGACAACTTAAAAAAGAAAGTAACATTTCAGAACGTTATTGTTAAAATAACTTTTTTCTTTAAAACCATTGTTGAAGTCATTGTTACAGTTTCATTTGGATACGAATAATTTTAGAGTGTGCTTTAAATTTTTACACAAGAATGAATTTCTATTTGTTGGAAAACAATACTTCAATACATGACAACAATACATCGATAAGTTGGCTACTGTGTCTAAATTATAATTGATTGTAATATTGAAATGTGTAGAATTATATATTTGAAAAAAGGCTGGGTTATTTAAATTTATTAAACATTTTTTAGCAAATAATGCTTAACTTAAATACAGAAATAATTACACGTAAATACTTTCTGACAAATAGTATCTCTTAATATGTTTATATACAGTTTCATTATTTTTAAATAAACAAAATAAAATTATTCAAATCAATAAAGATAAATATCAAATTTATTGTTTACCAGTATTTTTAAAAAAAAAATATTTTTATTATATTATTTTTATTTTAATTTACTCTGTGGAAGCCTCCCCCGATTTGAACTTTAACAAATGCTGACAATTGTTGGCATGATATAACAAAAACATTCTTGATTCACTAAATATTGAAAATAGCGATTGATGAAATCTTAATTGCTTTATTTTAATAAACAGGTTCTGTTCGAATTAGAATAACGATGAATTGCACTTGAGCGCTACAAAATATTTTTTTTTTGAAAAATTCNTAAGCATTTATAATTGAAAAAAATTATTTCTATGTAATGTTATGAAAATAAATAAAATATTATACCAATAATTTGTCAATAAAATTGAAATTAAATTACCAACATTTCTCTTGTTGACTTCGGTGTCACCATCAAGCTTGACTTTTGAAGAATGAATGACATGACAACTTTAAAATGAAAGTAACATTTAAGAACGTTATTGTTAAAATAACTTTTTTCCTTAAAACCATTGTTGAAGTCATTGTTACAGTTTCATTTGGATACGAATAATTTTAGAGTGTGCTTTAAATTTTTACACAAGAATGAATTTCTATTTGTTGGAAAACAATACTTCAATACATGACAATAATACATCGATAAGTTAGCTACTGTGTCTAAATTATAATTGACTGTAATATTGAAATGTCTAGAATTATATATTTGAAAAAAGGCTGTGTTATTTAAATTTATTTAACATTTTTTAGCAAATAATGCTTAACTTAAATAAAGAAATAATTACATGTAAATACTTTCTGACAAATAGTATCCCTTAATATGTTTATATACAGTTTTATTATTTTTAAATATACAAAATAAAATTATTCGAAGTAATAAAGATAAATATCAAATTTATTACATACCAGTATTTTTTAAAAAAATATTTTTATTATATTATTTTTACTTTGAATTTTCTCTGTGGAAGCCTCCCCCGATTTGAACTTTAACAAATGCTGACAATTGTTGGCATGATATAACAAAAACATTCTTGATTCACTAAATATTGAAAATAGCGATTGATGAAATCTTAATTGCTTTATTTTAATAAACAGGTTCTGTTCGAATTAGAATAACGATGAATTGCACTTGAGCGCTACAAAATATTTTTTTTTTGAAAAATTCTGTCATCGCGTTGGGCCGCAACATCTAACCGGTGCCTTACATCAAACGTGTCTATACATGAAAGCGTAAACGCACATCTTCGTAAATTTCAGAATGAAAATTCTTTTCTCTCATGGACTACGAAAAGCTGAAACAAACTGAGCTATAAGTTAGAAAGAACTGAAAGTTTAAAAGCGAATAGTTCATGCTAACGCACAAAGTGTTCTATATTATGTTTCAATTATACTTATGCAGGTTAAATAATACTTTTATTCATTGCAATTGTTACTCATCGAAAAAGAATATTAGTCGTTCGGTTACTCGTTTTCAGTTATAATTAAAAAAAAACCTGTGAAAAAAGCTTCGATAACTGTTATGAAAGAATGTGTAGGAGACGTGCCGTCATACATGATAGAACTGTTGATATTGAAAAACATGACATCGTTTCCAAGACAGCAATATGTAGTTTTTGTGCTGTTCACTTCTAAGCAAACGATAAAAAAAAAATTCTGGGAAGTATATTAATTGTTGCCATGATGGAAGTTTTTCTATTGCATTTCATTTGTTATATCTTATTATTGACAAACGATTTGAACTTTTTAAAGAGGACTTAGTTTTAAAGATTTTACGTTGGAACAAACACATTTTATAAGTGGGTTAAACTTAGTGAGGGAAGCGATCATGAAGTGCAAAGCAAGACGCATAAGATTGCATAGCAATCATCGGGGGTTGGGGAGCGGCAGCGAACAGGGAGAGGCTCCCTCTTGTACACAATTTTTTTGTTTTGTTTAGATCACTCCTTCTCCAGAGGAAGCAGATACAACATTTTGTGGAAAAAGGAAATCTGTTATTATAAAAATAGTGACATTTGAGCTTAAACAATGTGGATAATTTATGGATGGGGTGGAAAATCTAGTGGATGAATTAGTTATAATTCATTAATAATAATTCGTTAATAACAATTCATTAATATAATTCATTAATAAATTGTCATACTTTCCTTAAAAATGCAAGCTCCGCAGTAGACTGATCGTAAAGACACTGTTCCCAGTAGAACACGGAAGGCAAGCATCACTGGCTGCGGTCAGTAAGCGGGTGGGTGGCCATTTTAATCAGCCTGCGTAGGGACCCAGAGTGCTCGGTATCGGTCCTCGTTAAATTGTTCTGCCGTAAAGTGCTACCCCCCTCTGCAGAATATCGAAATTAAGATGGCATGTCTTCGGATCATCATCAGGGACAGCGGCATAATTTTGGGGACAAAATCCCCTACTAAATGTTTAAATTACATAACTAAATAATAAAATACTAAATGTTTAAATTACATAAAATGAATACTGATCAGGGACGTTTCCCAGACCGTCTCCAATAGCCCATTGTGTAGCTCTAGTGCGACGTAAATAAGTTACTTACCTAACTACCTTAAAAATGCAAATTATTTTATACAATGATTATGCATTCAATAGACTGCCAACATTTTATGCACCTGATGGAAACATATATACAAAATATGCATACATTAAAATGCATCAACTTTTTCGTGACTTACATTTGGACTATTGTGCCAGCAATTTTTCTTGCTCTCATTTTTCGATAAGATTGAGAACATTTTATCGCTGAAAAAATCACGTGCATAATTTTTCATAATATTTTAAAATGATTTCCCAACAAATGGCATTTTAGAAAAGTTACGAAATAGTAATCGTCAGTTTCTGGCGTTCTAAATGCAATTATGAATATGAAATACCTAATATGTATCGCGTAACTTTAAAGACTAATAAAAGATTCAAAAATAAGTGTTTTCATAAGTTATAAATCTTAAATTAATTGTGTGTCTTTGTTATTTAATTGCTTCTTGGCTGGCAACCACAAATTTTTATTCTTAATTTCCGTGTCCAGCTCATTTCTGAACTATTTTTGGCACTCTTCGCCTCTATTGTTTGATGGAACTTTTTCAACTGAAATCACGCATGTTCATTCCATTTTTTTCCCTGCTATGATTGAGGGTTTTCTTGTAAATATGCCAAAATCTTGCACGACAATGAAACGCGTTCTTTGGAAAGAATCTGTCCATTTTTTTGAGAAAAAATAATATTTGGAACCTACACAATCAAACGATTCTTTATTCTCGCAATAACTACAGATCAGACGACTTTTTATTGTGAATATACAGAACAACTAAACTCGCTTTTATAGCTTCGGTTTGTCAGTAAACTTTTTATTCGTAAATTTGAAACATCGTTAAACAATCGAAACTATTCGATGTTTTTTGATAGACCATTTTCATTGGAGGATCAATTTAAAAGGTAATTAGATATTTTGGAATAACTATTCTTTCTCAGAATAACATAAATGCTTGTAAAAACAGTCAGAAATTGATAGGTAAAATGAAAAAAGAATTTATTTAAGTCTTTTTCTGTTATCAAATCAACTATGTTATTCTTTTTTTTTCTTTCAAATTTTGGTACAAATCAATAGTAAAAGTATATTACAAAAATAGTTTTTTGCTATAGCAACTGATTTTTTTGTTGTTGTTATTTTTGAAAACGGAATGCTTTATATTATTGCAAACGCTAACTAAACATTTAAATTTTGAGTTATATTTATTGCGTAAAGAGTTATTTATTAAATTACATTTAAGGTTATTCATTTTAGAATGCAAATTTTCGAATTCCGGTATCGCATATTGGAAAGACGAGCTGTTCTGAATACAAAAATTTCTTAGAAAAACTAGGGTTTGAAGTAATAGAATGCAAGCAAATGGAAAAGACATTTGAGTTCCCTACCGACGAGGAATGCATTGGTAAGTATGCATAATACTATTATGCATTATTTATTATTCAGTTATAGAATAAGAAAAAATTCATTTTAAAATTTAACTAGATTTAATTATATTTAATGTTAAATAAAAGTATTTTCTTAATAAATTTCTAAATACCAAATCTATAAATTATTCGAAATATAGTACAAATCCTAACTATAATATCTATATTTATTTTAAAATAGTAATTTTTTTCAATTTAAAGTAAAAATTCCTTTGTAACAGGAAGAATTGAAAATTCGGAATTTTTTATGAAACTAAATGTATTAAATAGGCTTTTATTTGCTTAGACACGGATTAATATGATATTCCAAAAAAAATTGATTTCTAGTTCGTTATAATCCGTTGAATTTTTTGTACTCTTTTGTTAAATAAAATTATACCTCGAGAATCACTAAAGGAAATTGAACAAATTTCAGGAATCACGTGAAATAGCAAGTGCTTTTCAAAGAAAATATAAAAATTGCTAAGCGCTTAGGTCAAAACTACAAAGGATTTTTTTTTTGTTTTCAATTTAAAAAAATGTTCCCTAATTACAGATATAAATTGAAAAGATTGTTAAGTAGGGAAATTTATTAAAGAATTTAATATTTCCCCATCTCTTTAAAGGAAAAATGTTAAGAAACATTTTCCACTGCTTGATGCTTAGTTTTATATCAGAAGTGTCTTTTCATATTTCTGCTAATGATTCATTATTCGGTTATCGAAGCAACGCCTCCCGCTTCTCTTAACACAATTTATCTTATTTCGTTGCAACTGGTTATGAATCGGAGTTGAAATTGGAAGTGAGTTCCCTGGAAACTGGAGTCGGAGTTGGATTTAAACACTAACTCCACAGCTCTGATCAGCACTAGGAAAGTATGAAAGTATGACACACACCGGCAAAATTAATAACGCTAAAATATTTTTTGTATTTATTTCCCTTCCCGGTGGCTTTACGTCGTCAGATTAAACCAAACAGAGAAGTTCTGAGAAATTCATCCTAACAAAATAAACATTAACTCTGATTAATATCATTTTGCATCATGGTAGTGAAAATTTTCCACAATCGAGCAATTTTATCTGGGAATTCCCACTTTCAGGGCAAGGTAAAAATATTTCTAGCATAGTTTACTATATGCCGGCCAGGTGGCCGAGTGGCTAGTGCGCCTGAGTGTGAAGTTAATGGGTAAGGGTTCGAATCCCGCTCAGGGATTGGATGATTCTCTCTATATTGTCTTCTGTTGTGTGATGTGTAAATGTGGCCTACCATATGAACGGGTATCTGTGGCAGTGAGGAGTGAATAATGTTGCTCGCTTCCTCCGTGACTAAGGGATACAGGTGCCCACCGGGTAACGTTATAGAGCAACACTTCCAGCATTTACCATGGCAAAATGAACAAGAGTTAAATGCCTGACGTTTAAAAAAATACTACATTATGCCATATTATATAGTGTATTGCTAACATGTTCAGGGCCTTTATTAAGTGTGAATTATGATTTGACTTCGAAAATCTAGTTCAACATATTTTACGATCAAGTACCTCCGGTAAATCCTCATAATTTTTACCAATCACCCAGGGTACTTGCAACAAGATATTGTGTCATTCTGCTGATATTGTAAAAAAGTGGTTCCAAGCACAAGTTGAAGACCTCAGTCTCTTGTGTTAGCCACCATGATCCCCGGATTTCAATCCTCTTGAAATCTTTCAGGCATCTGTCATCTAGATACACAATCATCTAGAGAAAAGTGAATTAAATTATGGTATTAAATGTCTGGTATTATTGGAGATATTACTTTTAAATTACTCTTGTACTGTATTAGTTTATTTAGAAATTTCATTGAAACCCATACACATTCATGAGTATTTTTTTCACTGAATTTTGGACATGGCCAATGATGAAAGTAGCATTAATGAGATTTGATGATTTTTACCCATCGGATTCTGAGGCCATGTTTACTTAATAAACTTGAAATCTTTTTATTTTAATGCAGTTTTTCTTTTTATTTAATTAAATATCACACATAAATATTTAATTAGAAAACTGTGAGTTGCGGTGGCTCAGGGAATGGGGCATTCATTTCCCAATAAGGTGTCCAAGGTTCGAGTCCCAGCGGCGGCTGGTTGATGTGAATTCTGTTCACAGCTCGTACCGACCGCAGTGCTGACCTAAAATATTCTCAGTGGTTGACAGATCATGGGTTAGAATCCCCTTGCTAACCGTGGGAGATTTTCATGGTTTTTCTCCCCGTGTAACGCAAATCCGGATTAGTTCCGTCAAAAAGTTCTCCCATGAAGGCTAATTTGTCCCAATGCTTGATCTAGGAGCTGTCATGTCTTCTGGGTTGTGTTTAAAATAACAACGGAATTGAACCTTGATAGTCGTTAACTCAGAATTGGGTTGGCTGTTCAACGATAGCTAAAAAATAAAATAAACCATCTAACCATATGTGCCGTTATTTTTGAAAGTTGTATAAGTTCATATGGAGCTAAAAAGTAGTAGTTTATTTATTTATTTTACCCGATTTTAATAATCGTGGCTGTATTTTGATGTTTTATCAAATTATAGTGTTAAATTCATCTCCCAAATTGATTAAAATTTGCCAATATTTTTAAATTTATTCAAAAACCAATCCCTAAAATATTTTGGACTTATTCTACTTTTCAAATGGTCTTATTCTATTTTCCAAAACTAATGGCAGATATACTTCTGAACTTTCTCACAGACTATAAATTGTGTGTCAAATACTATAAATCTCGTAGGTTTTATAATAAATTTTGTTATAATTACTACTATAAGTTTTGTAGCATTATAGAGAAAAATCTTTCATTTCCGTAAAGCAGAATTTTTTCAACCGTGAACCAATCGATTTCGTTCTAGGCTTAATTGTATTTTTTGACAGACACGCATATAAACGTGTTGCTATTTATTTATTTATTTATTTTTTTGCTTAATATAACGTGTGGTTATCGAAATTTAATGTAAAAGAATTTCTTTTCATACAATATGTCCTTAAGTTATATAAAATTGATTGTTAGGCATTTTTCTTAAAAATAAAATGTGAAGAATTATATTGTGAAGTATCTGAATTCTCTATAGTAGTATTGATATACCGTAGATAAAAAAATTGCGTTGACCATCACTTATCCTTATCATCAGAGATCAAATTGCCACACATTATTGGTGCATTTGCACAAAAAATAAATAATTAAAAATGAAATAAATAATAAAAAAATTAAATTAATAATAAAGAGAAGCCAGAATTTTTTTTGTGTTCCCCGAAAATTGATAATTATTAATTTTTGTATTTATATGAAGTGGTGAGAAATTCGATTTGCAACTGAGAAACTAATTGATACATATACGTTACATTTTTAATTATAAGTTCATTCCTCCCGTGCTTTGGACTTCAATTAAACTTTTAGCTACACAGTTTAATGAGTTTCATATAGCTGGCCAAAGTGGCTGACCGGTTAGCGTGCGTGACTGCGAAGCCAAACGCTGAGGGTTTGAATCCCGTTCAGGGCATGTATGTTTCTCTCTGTGTGAGTGTGTTGTCCTCTATTATGTGTAAATGTTCTGTAGGGAGCTGGGACCATGTCCGAGAGTTCGTGGGTTCGAACCCCACCGGCCGAAGACTCCCCGTGTAGTAAATGATGACTGATGCACGTTAAATCTGTCGAGTCGCAAAGTCCATGTTCCCATAACAAATCAAAACCTCTGGGGGTACTGGATTGGAGATCGATCGTTCTCTGATTCAGGTCAAAATTACGATCTGTGGATGAATGAAGGGATGTGTGAATGGGTCCACCCTATTAAACGGGCTGTGATGTGTGTGTGTGGCTGAAGACGAATTCTCGGCCAGAGGATGGCGCCACTGAAAAAAACAAGAAACGCACACTCTGCCTTAAATTTGCTCGGTTTCACCTAGCAAGCTTGCCCGTGTGGCAAGTGTGGCATTAGAAACAACAACATGTGTAAATGTGGCCCACCCTATGAACGGGCATCTGTGGGTGTGTGGCGTGAGTAATGTTGCTCGCCTTCGTGACTTTGATCACAAAGTTGCTCACTAGGCAGCGCAAATAAGCACCTCTTCCGGCATCTTCCACCACGTAGAATTATAAATTCAGTGCCTGCCGTTAAAAAAGAAAGAAAGTTTTATTTAAAATATATATTTTGGCTGAATTTAAACTTCATCACGAACTGGTGTTGGATTGATTTTAATTTATACTCATAATAAAATATGTAATTAATTTTTTAACTCTTTTATTAACAATTTAATAAATATTTCAATAATTCTTTTCTTTGGTATTAATAATAACTATTTCTGTGATTATTCATTATCGCTAGCAACAAATGTTTATTATCAGTTATTAGTGATTGGTTATAATAAGGAGTTTCTGATTATTTATGAAATTTCAATGATTTCTCATAGCAAACGTCTACTCCACGTACCAATAGTCCCTTTTCCTTTCCAAAAATAAATAAATAAGTAAATAAAATAAATATTATTTATTGAGAAATAACGCCTAAATGCTAGAATACTTATTTTAAAAATAAGTGCCATGTGATTTGTGATGCAATGGAATAAGAGATAAAGATTTGTTTTCATATTTTGCAGGTTTTCTAATGGCTTTATCTCCCGTCAAGAGCTTCATACCAAAGGAGTTGGAAGAAGATTTTTCTAAAGATTTCTTTCATTTCTTCTTAAAGCGAAACGGAAGAAACACATGTGGTCAACCTCTTTATCATTACTCTATCATTAATATTCTAGCCAAGAAGCCTTTTCGAAGAAATGCATCTTTTAATTGAATATAATGTACTCCCTTTCGTCTAATATTTTTGTACTGTGGTTTTAAGTAGTATAAAATTTTTTTTAAAGGTTATTTATATCAACTCACGTCATTATGCAATATTTTAAAAATTAGAAGAATTAATCATGATTAGAAATTAAATCAATAAATATGAATTATGTATTATTTTAAAAAATTCAAGAATTAAATATGCTTATAAATTGCATCATAAAGTTTGAATTAAAAATTTGATGAATCAAATATATTAATAGTTAAGTCATTAAAAATGAATAATGTATTATTTTGAAAATTTGAAGAATTAATTAAGTTAATAAAAATGACATATTTAAATGTAAATTTTGTAATATTTAAAAAAAAAAATAATTAATAATGTTTGTAAATTTCGTCATTCAGAATGAATTTTGTATTATTTTAAAAATATGAAGAATTAATTATGTTAATAAATTGCATCATTAAGAATGAATAATCTATTATTTCACCTAAAGGAAAATTAATCACTAAGTTTACTTGATGATTTAAAAACGTCACTTGAATCAAAATATTAAATATGGTATAAAAGATGTCTTCAAAAATATTCACCCATTCTTAAGACTCGCCAGACGTGAATGAGAGGAAAGGTATCCTCATTCACGCTTTCGAATCTTGAGAATGGGCGCCTATTTTTCAGCACTCGAAAAATGTTGAGTTTTGCTACAATTTTCAATGTTTTACAGAAAATGACGTTTTTAAATCATTAAAAATTCTTTCCGCATCAGTTTCTGGGGATTATTCATTCAATTTAAAACCATCAAATTCTATCTTTTTTATTTATTATTTTTATTTCTTTTTTCAAATCGAATATGTTTCATTTAGCATTAGTTATGTTATCACACATTGACAACACTTAAATACTGGATGTTGTACAGTGCGCAAAATATAAAAAAAAGTAATCATCCGCATTACTTTGATCTTATGATAGGATTTTCACGTGCTAGAACTCAGTCTTAATTATTTGAGGGCCTAACTAATTTATGCAGACGATATTTTAAGTTAGGAAATCAGATACAGAAACTCACTTTCACTGAATAAATATGTCTTTTTTCGACATATTGGTTTTTTGACCCTAAAAATATGGGGGTAATTGCTATCTGGATAATATGGTGCCATAGGTTGATGCAAAAGATAGGGCGAAAGTTTGCACCCCTTAATGTTAAGTTCACTATATCTCGAAAACTTTTTGAGAAAATCGAAAAAATTTTGTACTCAATGATAAAATTTCTGTATCCAAAGATTTCATAAAATGAATAATTCTTTATTATTTTAAAAAAATTCTCAGGAGAGATTCGGAAAATTTTGAGTTAAAATTTTTCAAACAGTTTAAAGTATGTAATTTTAAACGACCAAATACAAATTTTGCACGAAATCGAACAAAAAGCTTTCCAGCAATCAAATTTTTACATGCATGTCTTTGAAATGAGTAACTCAGAGTCTATAAAACGGATTCTGTTCAAATTTTGTCTTTGAAATCGACATACAAAAATTATATAGAAATATTAAACTATCTAGACTATATGTTAATAAAATAATAAGAAATAATAAATACTTATTTTGAATTATTTTTGCATGGAGTTATCTTGAGATAAAAGAGATTTATAAAAATTGAATTGAAAAAAATAATTTTCGATTCGTTAAAAAAAAGTTCTGGAGTTTATAGCAAAATGCAAAAGAAAAAAAAAACGTGAAATTATCATTTAAGGGAATAGATAGTGCCAAACTTTCAATCACACTCCTGCCTTACCTATTGGAAATATATTTTGTGTCTAATTTTATAACTCAAAATACCTGCACTAATTAAGTAGCATGTTTCAGGTAAGGCCCTCGAAAGATTTAGTCCCATAATTCGAGAAAATATAGTCATTAGATAAGTTAGACTGGTTGTTCATTTTTTGTTCTTTTCACACTGTACAATGCGAAGATACAAATTTGAATTACCTTTATCTGCATACGTCAAACTTTTGAGCCCTACCTGCAAAAATCAAAATTTCAATTTGGCATTTTTACTTAGAGTTCAGAGAATTAAAAGATTAAAATAGTTAAAAGTAATATTGACATTTATGCGGTGGTTTTAAATTTTAAGAGTTTCTTTCCCGGCACGGTACGTACGGTCCTTAAAAAATTTAATAAATGTTAGAAATGTTAAGAAATTAGCATGTGTTTTCATAACTTTCACTACTCAGCCTAATATTTTCAAATGTATCCAGATGCGAAAATCCGAGTTATGTAATTTTAAAGTGAAAGCTATAAAAAAAGATTTGTAACTTCTTTATAAGCATATCAATCCCACTTTTGAATGTTCTAACTTTACTCCAAATTTTCTAAGGATCTTACGATCCAAGATCACCTGGCCCTGAAATTTTATAAACTCCTTCAAGCTATATTGAAATAATGAAAAGGATATATAAACTAACAATTGAATAAAGGCCATCATTGTGATGAAGGAATTAAACTAATAGCAATGTGTAAGCGGAGCCGCTATGGCTCTAAAATGTCACTGTGAAAAACTGGAGTTCGATCTCCAGTTGCGGCGTGAAGCCTACCCTGCTTCAGATCGATGGTTACTAGATTTTCTGTGAAGTAAAGGTGGCTTGTGCGTATTGCTGACCAACCTTCCCACAATCCTGCCGTTGGTCTCGAAATTGAGGAGCCTTAACCTCCATGACCTCACTGGCCTACAACGGGCTGTCGCGGGAATGGTTTATTTCTTGATGTTTATGTGTGCGTGATTTTATTCCCAGAATGTGAATAATGAAGATAAATGCGATGATAATTTTTGCTTATTGATTTGAAATCCCTTATTAATTTCAGTTGGCCTTAGCGTCAAAGTTAAAATTTCAGGAATTGATTTTTAATGTTTTTTAAACTGAATTTTATTTATTTACTATCTTTGCTGCATCAGTAGCTATTTATATAATATGATGTTTTAAACTATAATTATTTTCAAAACTGAATATTTCAAGTCGACTAAGAGGAAGAAAATCATTTTATTTTTTTCCAAACTTAAAACGCAAAACTTTAAGTTAAACTTTTTTTTCTTTTAAAACACTGATTCTTTATTATACTTAAATTTTCAAATGATTCTTTTTGTTAAAGGAATGTACAGTTTTTTCGGTAAAACAATTGATACAATGACTTAATTTTCTCATTATTTAGCAATGAATTATTCCACTGCAGTTGCGTTTTTCAAGTAGTGCTAACTTTGAAAGTTAATTTTCGCATATTTATTATTTAAAAGAGAAATAATCTTTGGAATCTTATAATCTTGGAGAAATAATCTTATTTAATAGAGGAATATTCTTTTTATAAAATGTATTTTCAGTTTTTTAGGATATTTTCATTAACTTTATAGAGAAGTATTATTTCAAAGAATATTCTTTTAGTATAATATATTTTCAGTTTTTTTTAGAAACACATTTGAAACAATGACTTAATTTGCTCATTATTGAACAATTAGTTATTCTACAATAATTATTTTTTAAGTTGTGCTAAATTTTAAAATTTATTCTAACATAATTATAGAAGAGGAATATTTCTTAATTTATAGATTATTCTTTTTGTAATATACGAGTTGATAGTTTCTTTGGAAAATCATTCTCCAATTTGATTTACTCTTTATTTAGCAATAAATTATTCTACAGCAATAATTTTTAAGTTTTGCAACGTTCAAAAACTAATTTTAATACATATACTGCAAATTAAGAACATTTTTATACCGTATTTTATAATAATCTCTCTTATTGTATAATTAGTTATTCAACAGCAATACGATTTTAGTTGTGTAAGCTTTTAAAACTAATTTTAACAAATTTACTACAAAAGAAGAACATTCTTTATACAGTATTTTATAATGATTTTTCTTGTAATAATTAATTACTCTACAGCAACAAGAGTTAAGTTGTATAAGCTTTGGCAGGCTAATTTCAGCACATTTACTACAGAAGAAGAACATTCTTTATACAGTATTTTATAATGATTTTTCTTGTAATAGAATTAATTATTCAACAGCAATACGTTTTTAGTTGTGTAAGCTTTTAAAGCTAATGTTAACACATTTACTACAAAAGAAGAACATTCTTTATACCATATTTTCTAATAATTTCTCTCGTAATATAATTAATTATTCTACAGCAATAAATTTTAATTCGTGTAAGATTTTTAATCTAATTTTAACACATTGATTTCAAACGAAGTATATTCTTACCTACCGCATTTCGTAAACCATTCTTTTTGTAATTTAATTATTTTGCAGCAAAAAGTTTTAAATTGTGTAATCTTTTAAAGCTATTTTTAACACATTAATTACAAACGAATAACATTTTCCATATTATAAATCTTTCCATTTGTAATTTTTCTTTTTTTTAAAATCCCAGGGCACCACATATGAGCAATCTAAAAACATACAATATAAAAATTTACATAATTTCATAAATATTACATTCAAAATGGTTCCAATTATAAAGATAAATAAATTAACGAACGCAGATTAGATTTCTTTATCAACCAACGATTTCATGCAAAAATTGAAACTATTTCTCCAATTTTCAAGTGAACAGGGTTTCTTTTCAAATATGAATCATATCTTTGACATTATCTGGAAATACAGCCTTTTCTTGTCAGACACCCCTGGTTCTTTCTGACCAGCTCTTTCTTAACTTCCAGGATTGCTCATTGAAAGTAGTGACCACCCAACAAATTCATAATTCAAATCGTACTTGAAAATCATTCATACCACAGAAGAGAATTCTATCTTCTCAAGCCCCCCCATCAACTTCTTTCAAACAATCAAGATAAGGGCTGACTCATTTCCACAGGTGGGGTATAAATAAAGGGGTTGGTTGGGGTATAATAAAGGGGTCATAGCTTTATTTGAAAAGGATTGCTTGTTCTTTTTTGTTTAAGAAATTTCAGTCTTCTGCAAAAGTTGGTGGAGATCAGTTGAAAGTTGGACTTAACATTTTTGTGGTGCCAGAAAATTCGAAGGTAAATTACTTTTCTTGGTTTTGTTATTTAAAAGAATTCACATAATTTGTAAATTAAATTTTAGAGTAAAATGAAGAGTTAGTTGTAATTGCCTGGGCTAAAATGTTGGTGATAAATAAATTTTCTTTTGTTTCATTTTTGGACGTTTTTTTATGGGACTTCATTAAATTTTTAGACTATTATTCTATATTGTATATATTTTTTCTTCTTTTTAACAATTATTTTTTCGATTTTTAAATATATTTTACTTTAAAATGCATTTGGCTTGTGGATTAATTATTTTCTTTATAGATTACATTACATTTTACATTTCTTTTTTAGCTTTGTAAAACATACAAAGCAACTCTTGGTTTAACCCTTTTACGCAGAATTTTTATTAAACATATTTTTTATTGTTTTGTATTAATTTACATCAAAGTAAGAGAAAATCATTACAGTTAGCATTTTAATAATTTATGGTTATGAAATACAGCATGAAATTCTGGTGTCTTTTTTTTTGCGTTAAAGTTCCAAACACGGTTTACTTTTAAACAAAAAAAATTTTTTTTTTGGATTTATATTTTTGTTCAAATATAATTCTGTTAATCTAACAGGTTTTTTAATAACTGTTAGGCTGTTTTTTCTAATTAAAAAAGTACCCAAATATAATTTTGCTTGTAATCGTAGTCAAGAAAAAAAAATTATAAAGGGCACCGGTGTTCCCATCTGCTTCAAAGGGTTAAAGAACATTTGATAATACAATACCATTTTATAAATTCAATTTTATTTTCACTAGGTATTTATTTATATTTTATTTTATTGATAGATCATATGCATCTATTAGTACTATTATTATTTAAAAAAAACTTTTTCTTTTGTCTAAAACTTAAATTGCATCATTTTTAATTTTAAGATCCTTTTTCATTGTTTTTACAAGCTTATTTTTTTTTTTTTTAGCATTTCTTAAAAATTTTATAAGTCGCCAACATGCCAGCTCTGGTAATTACTATAACTGAACTTGTTTTTGTATATTATTTGTCTTGATGTTCAATATTAAAATTTTACGAAACTCAATCATAATTTGTTATACAATGTAGATAAAATTCTCAGTCCAAGCGACAAATCTATAATCAAAGTAATGTGTCAATTAACAATATGAAATAGACTAGAATCACATAGTTAAATTTTGGGACCATATAACCAGTTACTGTTTGCTTTTGATCCAGAAATCTATCCAATAATAATCTTTTAAACAAACTTGAAATTTTAATTAAAATGTTGAAGTAAGAAAAAATAGACGGCAAAACTTAAATAATTTGTAAAAGAAATGTGCTAAGTAACAAAATTTTCTTTACCTAAATTTTTTTATTGTTTCTTTAAAATATTCAATTAATTGCATTGTATTTACAAATTGAAAGAAATGGCGTATAATTCCAAAATGGCGCTTTTAGTAAAATTTAAAGGAATTGAATTTTAATTTTACCAGTTAGATATTTATCATTTGTATCATAACTTTATCAAATTATTACAGCTTGGATAAATACTGATGATCAAATATTTAGGTTAATTTGAATTATTATTTATAGTTAATAAGAATATAAGAATGTTAGTTACAGTTTATTTGTTCTTGCTTCATATTGTTTTCATTTTCAGTGATTTTTTCCAGAAATTTATTAATTTGTAAAATTTTGTCTGTAATATAATTTTGCTTGCTAGCAATAATGTTCATTAATTATAATTATGTTTTGCAAACTTATGTTTATTGCAACATTAGCAGACATTTTTTTTTAACACCAGCTCTGATTTAAGTAAAATATTTATACGATAGCTAAGTTCACGAAAAATTATTAAGAACAATTGTGAAATAAAAAATTAGAAACTGTCTTTTCTTCTAAGGTTGTTAATTTTAAAAGTCAGAAGAAGTTGTTTAAAAATTTGTGACATAGCAAGGGAGAGAGTCCAAGGATGCTAGGAATTCAACTAACTAAAATTACAAATAAAATGATAAGAAGGGAAATTCTATATTAAAATCTAGCATTGAATCATCTAAATTTTTTTGGTCTATTTGAATAGTCTATGTTACTATGTTACATCGAAATGTTTTTCTTTTTTTAAAAAATAAATAAATCAAGCCTTAAATTAATTATAAACGCATGTAATAATGCGCTTGAAAATTAAATTTAGGGCAAAGATTGGTTGAATAGGTTATAAGAACAAATGATTATTTGCTTTTTTTTCTCCCTTGAAAATAAAAAATATAATCGGTTATTTTTACTACAGTTGTCTATTTTGTACATGCATTGAACTACTGATATTGTATTACTTTGAACTGAGCAAGAACAATGATACACAATAATTATGCAAGTACGACGATGATTGATTAATATAAAGTTAAAATATAGTTTTATTTCCAACAATGAATAGCTTAACCTTTTAGTGGAAACAAAAGTGCAAACAGAAATATTTGTGCTTTTGTTCACATAAGTTATATTTTTTTTTATCTTACTTTAATGGATGAAATCCCCCCCCCCACGAAATTACAGCCTAAACATTCAACTCTCACCCTAAACATTCGGTCAAAAATTGAATTTGCGACTTTCCCTAATGAAATAAAATTATAACTAAAAGCATAACTACTGTGGAAAAGAATTTTATGCACTTTGTAAATCTTAACCCTTTCGAGTTTGAAATCACATTTCCTAATAACGAACTTTTCCGGAAGATTTTATATTTAATGTGATAGCAAAATTTTTGTTTCTCTTTTTAATTTCTGGCTTTATAGATTTAATTAAAAATGATTTTGGCTATCATTTTATAAATATTAATTAAGTATACATATAAAAGTCCTCATCATATATTCCTCAAACTCCCAGTTCGAACTTAATAACTATATTCCGTTATTACTTAGTGTATTAAGCTCTGGCATAATATAAAAATATTCCTTCATGTAATACTGATTAAGTTGTAATTTTACTACTTTGTAAAAACATGATCAGTAGGAATAAAAGTTGACAGAGCTCAAGGTCTGATGGTCAAAGGTCAAAGTTGATGGCTCAAGGGATAGAGCGTTCTTCTTCTAATGAGATGAACTGGGTTCGAATCCTAGTCGATACGAATTCCGCATCCGGCTTGCACCGACCTCAATGCTGACGTAAAATATCCTCAGTGGTAGACGGATCATGGGTTAGAGTCTCCTTGCCGTCGAGAAAACCGTGTGAGGTTCTCGTGGTCTACCTCTCCATGTAACGCAAATGTGGGTTAGTTCCATCAAAAAGTCCTCTAGGAAGGCAAATTTCTCTCATTGCTTGATCCAGGAGTCCCCTTGTCTTCTAGATTGAGTTCAAAATTACAAGGCTACGGAGCTGAACATTAGTAGCCGTAAAACCTTAAATTGGGTCGGTTGTTCAATAACGGTTAAAAAAAAAAGAATAAAAGTTGACAGATATGCAATACATTTTGATATAGACGATCTAAAAATTGTTTTTATTGCTATACTGAGATATACTGACTTTGAAGCAGTTTTTTTGGAAATAAATTTTGATAGTTAATAATGGTATTTAGAAATTCAAAGCTAGTTTTGTAAAGTCAAAGTGGAAGTTAACTTTCAGCAGTTTTGAGAAAAGTCAGTTTCAATATATTTTATTTTCTCCAGGTTGTGGGTACGCTGTATTTGTGCTAGGTGTACTGATACTTTTGAGCGGTCCTGTATATCTCGGGTATAATGTACAGGTGTTTTTCTTTTAAAAAAAACTTTTCATTTTTAAAATAAGCGCGAGAGTATAGTCAAAACCAGTTTCGCAATTTTCGGTATCAAATATAATAGAAAAAATTCTATATCACGTTAATTAATATTTTTGGTTAGAAATTATTATTCAAGATTAAAAATATTCCAAGCGAAATGCACTCATCATCATCAACTCCTTTCATGTCCAAAGGCACATAAAACCATCTTGCTTGTTCACTTGTTAGCCACAGCCATTTTTGCTTCCTGCCAACTGATACATCTATTCTCATTCCTGTCTATCTTTGATTTTTCTGCGCCATGTTGTTTTTTGGTTTACAATCAATTACTTTCCAAACAACTTACGAAGATAATTACTCTCTTTTAATTTTAAGTGTTACTCATTTTTTGAATTATATAATTATATAGTTGTACATATTATATAGTTGTATAATTATATAGTTGTATAGTTATACAATATTAGTTGGTATTTTGTTATCTGGAATTTATTAATAAAACAACTTAAAATCAATCTAAAAAAGGGTTTTTGTCCCACCCACAAACTTTAAAAAACCCAATAAAACCTGCGTGGGTTTTTATTAAAAATGAATGCGGCAAAACCCACGATCAAGTGGTATTTTTCAGGTTCTATTATAGCCATAATAGAAATCTTTGAATTTCTTTCTATCAATTTTTATTTCTTATTTGATTTTAAATATAGTATTTAAACCCAGGGCTAAAGAGAATGCAAGGGCTAGTTCACTCTGCTCTTAGAGCTGAAGCTACGATTTCCCTCCTCATGACGTCACTGTGTCCACAGATCTCGGAGATCGCAAGCAAAGATATGATAACTTTACATCTTTCTCTTGTAAAATTAAGTTAGACTTTTTCTGGTTATTAGCCTTCAAACTTTACGTAATTAACACATTATTTCCGTTCATAAACATAGTTCAAAAAAAACTTTCTTGGTTATTATATTAAAAAAATACCATTTTAAACTTATAAAAATGTTTTGCTAGTTGGTGAAAATGACACGATAAATACTTTATTTTAAAAAGTTCAGTTTTAACTTTAACTATTAAGAAAAATGAAGGCATATATCGACACTTTTTTTATCTACATATTCTTTTATAAAGATAAGTTAAGTTAAATTTAGAATCCCTGATTTTAAAATATGTCGTTAATAGCAATTTGTTCATACTTAATCATTAGGAAACATCAACCTTAAACGCTAATTACTGAAACAAAATAATAATTTAGGTTCATAATGACATTAGAAATTTTACAATTGTTTATAGACATTTAAATTTACGATGATATAATTTATAGATATTTAAATTGAAGAGAATATAATTTTTAAAAAAAATCATAAATATTTAGAATAACTACATTAAAAAATATGTTATGAAATTAGGAGAATTTCAACTATATACTATATATTTTATTTATACTTTTTATTTACATTTTAATTTTCTTTGACTTTATCTATTTTTTAATTCTTTTCACCTGCCTTTCTTTATGAAGTAGCGAGGCGGTTTCTATTTAGATAATGAATTTTTATAAAAGTTCTTTACGACAGAATAAACGTATTGCGGTTTTATATTAACTGTGTCATTTCGGAATCCATTCTTTACATAGTTGTTCATTTACTTTAGGGAACACGCGAAAAATTATACTTTTTCCTTTTGTTTTTATATCAGAATTTTTGCAAGTTGCAATCGCGCAAACTGGCATTTCGATAATAGTTTTAAATTCTTGTAAATTCACTGCAAAAACTGAGGAAAGTCATTATGGAAAATAACAAATGTCTTAGAATATCTCGCAAAAAGAAATGATCCAATATTAGTTAGAGCTAGTAAGGCCAAACGTTTCGTTCTTGAAGTAACAGTGCGAGCTTTGCTCCAAAGTGACGTCACTAGTGACGTCGGAGGATCGGCGCGGCGAGAGATACTTCAAAGGAGTGAACCAGCCATTCTATTCTCTTTAGCCCTGATTTAAACCTGCCTACAAAACTAATTATGTAACTTTAACACTGAGAAAATATGATTCAGGTCACATACATCATGGTTCTGGACTTCTAGTAAAGTTAGTTCCATATGCATGTGTTTTTTTAGAGCAAATCAAATAACTATAATGAATATCATTAATTGAATAGTAATTCTGTATTAAGTTGACCTGAACTAAAATTGTCTGAGACCTAAATCTATTGATCTATTGGTAAAATCTATTTTGGGAATGAAATAAGTTAATATATAAGATTTATTTCAAAGCGCTTATTAACAACTTTTAAATAATATACCTACTTGCTTAACTGAAATAGAAGTTTTATAGCATTTTTTAAATAGTAATTTATTTAGCATAACAAAAAAACCGTATATATCATTTGCGGGATTTATTATACGTCACACCCGTTTATAGAGCGGACCCATTAATACATCCGTTCATTCATCCCCAGATCGTACTTTTGACATGAACCAGAAAAAGATTAATCTCCAATTCAGTACCCCCAGTGGTATAATTTGTTATGGGAAGGAGGGGATTTGTTATGGGAATATCGATGACTTTGTGACCCGACAGATTTAACGTGCGCCAGCCCCCATTTACTACACGGGGAGTCTTCGGCCGGCTGGATTCGAACACCCGTTCTCATGAACGTGAGTCCAGCGCCCTGCCAACCTGGCTAATCTCTTTCTTTACAATAATTTTTTGAAATAAATGGGATTGATGAGGACATTCACTTCCTGTTAATAATAATAATTATAATAATCTAAGAAAAAGATGATTATAAATTTGAATGAATTTATTTTTGAATAACACAATCATTAAATTTGTTAAAACAACCAGTATCTTTGGAAATTATCTAATGCCCCCAAAAATTATAGTTGTAAAGAAAATAAATTTCAAAAAATAATTTTTTGTATACAATAAATATCTATGTATATACACTGCCTTGCAGTTGAAAAATCAGCCTAGGCGTCAAAAAAAATTGAGATTTTTATATGTTTGGCATCTTTATATGGTAAGCTACATATTACAAATAAATAAATAAATAAATTTTGTTTTACCAGTTTTATCAAATTCTATTAAAGCGTTCATAGCAGTAGAAGAAAAGTTGTCAAGTCACTTTTCTCGGAATCAATCGAGAAGTACGTTGTTTTCCCCATTGCACGGCAGTACAGTATTTTTGGGTATTTCGGGTTCAACTCCGTAGCCTTGTAATTTCGAACCCAATCCAGGTGTATTGGTTTAAGTTTTCGGATAAATTTACCTTCGTAGAGGACTTTTTGATGGAACTAACCCGCATTTGCGTTACATTGGGAGGAAAACCACGAGAACGGCCCACTGTTTGCCTAACGGCGAGGTGACTTTAACCCATGATCCGTCTACCACTGATGATATTTCACGTCAGCACTGTAGTCAGTGCAAGTCGGATGCAGAATTCGCATATACTAGCCATCGCCGGAATTCGAACCCGGTTCAGGTTCACCTCATTCGAAGGCGAACGCTCTATCCCCTGAGCCATCGCTGCTGAAGTACAGGGGTTGGACAAAATTATGGAAACTCTTCGATCCAATTCTATGTAAACAATCTATTATTCTGGAGGATTTTCAATGGCAAAGCTGTTGCCGCAATTTGAAAGAAGATGGTCTCCCTTTCAACCATGTGAAATCTAGAATCTCCAAACTGTGGAGAGGAAATTAATAACTTTAACAATTTGGAAATTATTTCATACGAATGCTTTCTTAATTATAAAATGATAGAAGCTTTAACTTTTTCTGGACGGCCGAGTCATAATTGAATTCGCACTGAATCAGAATTAAGATAGTAAAAAACAAAAAGCGGTAACTTAAGTTTGGGCATCATAAAAGAGTAACTATACAATTTTTGATTCGAACTAAGTAGTGGTGAATTAAATAAAGCAAACTATTATTACCCCGACCACAAATAAACTGCTATAAAAATAGTCTGGCTATCAGTTTTATCTTTTTTTATCCTGATTACCGACATCCTGAGTATGAATATATGACCATATATGGCAACGTTACTTTTAAAAAGTAACGAGTAAAAGTACAAGTATTTTTAAAAAAAGTAACGAGTAAAAAGTATTCTTATTTTAAAAAGTAACGAGTAAAAAGTACAAGTAAAAGTACAAGTACTAAACAAAAATCATTTAATTCCGCATCTAAAGTACATT